TCAAAGTAAAACATCATAAATAATGCACATAGTTTGTACATATTTTTATACTAGATGATATAATATTATTAATCAAATGAATTTATATACTGAAAACTAACTTTATTGGTATTTTTTTTTTAGTTAAATAATCATGGAACTGAAAATGGTGATGTAGAAGGTGGAGTTGATTCCATCCAGCCAAATAGCGGTGTTGTTCAAGGGGGACATAAAGAAGAAGAAGAGGACATGAGTGAATTGTTTATTCATCAAGGAATTCACACTATTGAATATGTTCTTGGCAGTGTTTCTCATACTGCGTCATATTTACGTTTGTGGGCTTTATCACTTGCTCATGCTCGTAAGCTAAGAGATCAATTTTCTATTACATAATCCATAATACACAAATTTTTAATGCGTATTTTTTTAATTTATTTCATTAGAATTATCAGAAGTATTATGGAACATGGTCATGAGAAATGGATTACAACGAGAGCATTGGTCAGGTGGTATTATTCTATGGGCTGTGTTTGCATTTTGGGCTATTTTAACCATTGGTATTCTAGTACTTATGGAAGGGTTATCAGCCTTCCTACATACACTCCGACTTCATTGGTATGAAGATTGTATATATTACAAATTATATTTAACGTAGTGTTACTTTAAGAAAGTTGATTTTAAAATTGATATATTCCAATTTTCTCGTATTAAACTTATTTTTTCATGTATTATTTTTGCAGGGTCGAATTCCAAAGCAAATTTTATGCTGGACAAGGATACAGCTTCCAACCATTTTCGTTTGAAATTATTTTAGACGCTGCGCAATCTACTACAGAAGACTAAAACAAGTTTAAACCATGAAAAAACTTCATTTACAGAACGCATTCTTAGTATTGTTATTTTGTGATATGTAATAGCAATTATTATATTTCACTATTTTTGTTGCTATTGTCAACTATACGAGAAATAGTATAAACATTAAACATTTTGATTACGATTCTAAAAATTATGAAATTATTTTCCTAAATTACAGTTGTACGCTAAATGACATCCAGTATACTATTCAAGAAGTCATTGTAACTAAACTTAATTTTTAATGCTACAATTATCACACTTCCTCTGATGTGTATTTACTTAGAGAATTCAAGAATATAAAAAAATAAAAGTTGTAATTAGATCTGAAACATATAATGGAAGTAAATAAATATTATACGTAGGCATGTGTATTTAATTGCTATATGTACTAAACATGTTATATCTCGTCGATTTATTGCTCATGTAATACAAGAGTAATGAGAAATTAAGCAATTGTAGCTAAAACCGTAA